GAGGGGAGAGAGAGAGAAACATAGATGTGAGAGAGACACATCGATCAGTTGTCTCCCCGACACACCCCAACTGGGGCCAGGGATCAAACCTGCAACCCAGGTATGTGCCCCTAAGTGGAAATCGAACCTGCGACCCTTTGGTGTGTGGGCCAATGTTCTACCCAGTGAGAAACACTGGCTAGAGCTGGGGTCAGAATATATTCTTAAGGCTGTAGGGGTACCAGGGGTAGTGCCTGGGGGAGCCAGGAAGGGCCTCCTAGGAACATGGTGTGGGACCTGGCCCCGAGGCTGGAGGCTGGGCAGGCAGGCAAGAGAGCCCATGGAAAAGTGTACCCATGGCAGAATTTTCTATTGTCCTTCCCCACTGGCCTCAGTCTCTCCATCCCCACCACATCCTAGGAGCTGCCACATACCTGTCCCTCTTCTCCTGCGCTCGAAGTTCCATTTCCTCCCTCCATCTGCTTTCCTACTCCTGCCCATGCCGACCCCCCAGGTCTGTTCCGGGTAGCCTGGCTGTGACCTTTGAAGCACTCAACCAAGTCTTGCTTCCCAGAATTGTTCCTCCACCACCCTGGGCTTCCATCTCTCCAGCTATTCCCAGCCCTCCAGCTGCTGTCTACCCAGGCAAGCTCCTTCAGGCTCTAGCCCTTACCCCCATTCATTTAGAGGCCCCATTTCCAGGCCGGACTACATGCCCATTCGCCCCAGACCTCTTGACTTCAGCCAAACCTGAGACTCACTGTGGACAAGGAACCTGTCCAGTCCCCTGCCCAGTGCCTGCTCTTTCCCCTCCTGTCCACCACCAGGCCCTCCTCAGCTAGGGCCTTGGCCACCTTGCAGCATTTACCCTTCCGTCCACCCTGAATGGAGAGGACAGAGAGAAGCCTATCCCATCATGTCACGTCCCTCTTCAAAACACTCCAAGGTCATGGCTCCCCATTTCCCTGACACCTGCCTCCCTGCCCTCAGCATCCCCTTGTACCAGCTGCTCTGATGGACCGGGGACCCCTTGGGCCATGCACAGCCCGCCTTCTAAGCACAGCCCAAGGGTCCTGTGCTTCCTGGATTTGTTTTCTGGGGTGACCATGATGACGGACCACAGCCTGGGTACCTTAAACAACAGAAATGTATTGTCTCAGAGTTCTGGAGACTAGAAGTCTAAGATCAAGGTATCAGCATGGCTGGTTCCTTCTGGTGGTTGTTGGCTGCCCTTGGCTTGTAGGTTCATCACTCTGGTCTCTACTTTCACCCTTATAGCATTCTCTGTGTGTCTATGTCTGAATTTCCCCTTTGTTAAGGACACCATGTTATTAGATTAGGGGCCCATCTTACTCCAGGGTGACCTCATCTTAACTAATGATATCTGCAACCAGCCTACTTCCAAACAAGATCACAGTGTAAGGCACTGGGGATTAGAACTTCAACATATGAATTTTGAGGGACACAATTCAACCCATAAGCTCCCAACACCCAAAGGTCCCCAGCTGGTATTGGTGACCAGGCACCTGTCATTAGGCTGGACATTGGACAGTTTGCCTGGCCTGGCCATGGAAGCCAGTGGACACAACTCACAAGTCTGTGACACCCCTGCTACACCAGCCTCAGCCCACATCTGGAGCAGCACAGGCCCCAGGTAATGGTATCATGTGGACATTGGCTCCCCAAGGACCAGAGACCGACCTGCTCATTGTGGCCCCACATTGGGTGCAAGTGGTCATTGCCTCCAGGGCAGCCTCCCTGGGTGGAGGGGGGCCTGAGATCTTCCTCTGGAGGGTTCGGGCTGACACTCAGATGTTGGCTTCTGCTGAGAAGCCGGCCCCAGTTCGTTTCTTGTTCCCTTTCCAGGAATGCTCCACCACCACTTGCTTCATCTTTAGCCCACGAAGCCGTTTCCCAGCTGCTGCAAACAGACCTTTCTGAATTCAGGAAGCTACCTAGGCAGGAGGAGGACAGTGAGGAAGTGGAGGAAGAAAAGGCCCCTGTGACCCGTGAGTTTTCTTTCTCGGGACCCCAGGCTTAGCAGGCAACAGACTTGCCAGGCAGACAAGGGGCAGGCTGCTGGCAAGCACCAGTGTGGGAGAAGGCAAGGCTCACCTGGCCTTCATCACCTTTCCTGTTTTGCTGGTGGAAAGATGGTTGTGGCAGCACATGGCTGAGAACCTTGAAGGGGCAGTTCCACGTGCGCATGCTCATGATGGGGCAGCAGGATCAAGATACAGAGAGAGCACTCACAGCCTGAAGTCAGCAGGGGGAGCACAGCAGCCACTCACTGGGCTTCAGAACAGCCAGGGGATGAATAATGTGTGGCCTGTTTTACAGGGGAGGACACCAAGGTTCTGTCTCTGGGTCACGCTTCTGCTCTTCTGCCTCAGCCAACATCAATCAGCCCGTGTTGATGTGGGAGTTGGGAGGGTGAGGTGGGAGTGGGTTCCCAGAGGCAGCTTTGATGTCCAGCCAGTGGAAAATGCCAGAGCTTGGCCCATGGCGTGGGCTGACCCAACCCCATCAGGTAAAGACTTAGTGGGTTTCTGTGAGAGCCTGGGGAGGCAGCCTGCTCCTGGGACAGTGGTCAGCAGGGAATCCCGAGCCATGCGGTAAAAGGGACCCAGAAACAGAGTGAACCTTATACTAAAGAGACAAGGTTCTTATTTTGTATGTCTTCCTTTCACTTCCCTAGTAATTCCTTTCTATCATATTTCACCAAAATATCGGTTCATGTCAGAACAGAACTACATCAAGCAAGGGTTGCTCGGGCATGGCCTGTGGTGGAGTGTGCTGTGGGCCCAGGTTGGGTGCCAGCTTTTGGTGTCTTTCCATGTTGCTGGTGAAAGGTGCAACTCAGATCTCAGGCTGGGCTGAAGGCCAGATGAGATGCAGAAGGCAGAGCAGGTTCTGGGGCCCAACCTGGCCATCAGAGTAGTAGGAGCCTCAGCAGATTCCTCTTCCTTTGCCATATCCTATTGGACTGTGTTACTTTCATAGTTTTTCATTGAGATACAATTGACATATCACACGTGTAAGTTTAAAGTGTTGATTTGGTTCATTTATATAGTGCTTTTTAAATCCTCATCTGAGGATATTTTTTCCCATTGCTTTTCAGAGAGAGTGGAAGGGGGATAAAGAGAGAGAGAGAAAGGTCGACGTGAGAGAGACACATAGATTGGTTGCCTCCCACTAACTTGCTGACCGAGGTTGGGGATTGAGCCTGCAACCTTCGTGTCCTCCCCTTCGGTCCGCGGGCTGACACTCTGACCACTGAGCAAAACCGGCTAGGGCTATATAGTGTTTTTGCTAACACCTCCCTCGTGTCACTTAATTACAGGCATACCTCCCAGATATTGGGGATTCGGTTCCAGGCCACCGCGCTATAAAGCAAGTCATAATCTTTTTGCTGGGGTGGGGGAGGAATCTTGCCTTCAGTTTATAAAAAATGCAACATCTGTTAAGCACAATAAAGCGAAGCATAATAAAACAAGGTATTCCTGTATTATCCGACTATCTCAGCATTAGTGGGAGCACTGAGGCCAAAGCCAGGAACAGACCAGGAAAAGAGAAGAAAAACACAGCCTGTCCCTGCAGTAGGTGCAGGGCCTTTCTGTCCGGGTCCCCTGCCCTTTTCCCAGGCTCCCTGCCCTCATTCCATCCCAGCACAGCCTCCTCTGGCCTCCAAGCTGAAGACAGTGGCTCAGTGACTGGCAGTCATTGTTCTCTACAAAGCCCTAAGGCGCTCGCCCCTGCCCGCCCACTTTCAGGCAGGAGATCAGCACCACCTGCTGGCAGGGAAGGAGCAGTGCGGTGGCTGGCAGCAGCAGAGCCCTCCACTTGGGGGCCCCTGCTCCCGCCCTCCATGCAGGCCTGGTCTCCCTGCCTTGATTAGCTGTCCCTGTCATGGGGGTAGAACTTAGTTAAAGTCTATCCATGGGCAGTATGAGAATCATCACCTAAGGGCAGAGATGTGACTAAGACCTCTACGTGACAGGATTAGGTGGAGCCACCAGCTACCTCTCCCCAGTGAGCAGTTCCCTGGGTGCCTGGAAAGCAGGTGTGTCCTGTGAGCAGCATCAGGAGTGTGTGGGCCAGGTGATCCTCCCCATAGCTTATTCTTATTGGTATTTGCCCTTTGCTGGAGCCAAGATTCAAGTTTAAACACGTTGATGAAAACAGTAGCAAGAGAGTAAATGGTGCTCTGTGCCTCCCTGCGTATTTCAGACCTGATAAAACCCAGTTCTTGACAAATGCCTGAATGGCCACCAACTTCTGGGTGTGGTGGCAGCAGCCAATTCTAGACACCCCCAATGTGTGGATTTTCTCAGAAGTATCTTCCCCAAGGCTTCCTGTGCTCGCAGACCCTCCATGCCTCCCCTGGCCTTGGCCCTTCTTTTCTTCTGTAGCCACTGCCTTTGGGCACGAGCTATTCCTTCTCTAGCTCCCCAAATCCTTCGAGTGTGGCCTGTGACACTCCTGAGTCTGCCCTGTTTCTAGTTACTTGCCCTGGGGCCACCCTCTTAGGTGACCAGCTATACCTGGCCCCAGCGCCTGGGCCTGCAGGGGTCCCAGGAGGGATTTGTATATCAGAATGAACTGAGTCTTTGAGGTGCAGCACCTGAGGTTTCCTTTGGACTCGTTCCTTGTTAATCTTTCCTTTAGAGCCAGGTTTAAGTAGGACTTGAAATTTTCTTTTAAAATCCGTGTTGTAGGGGGTATTACCTGTTGCTGCATAACATTGCCCCAAAATGTAAGGGCTTAAAACAATAAACATTTATTATCCCACAGTTTCTGTGGGTCTGGAATTTGGGAGCAACTGAGCTGGTGGTTCTTGCTCAGGGTCTGTCATGAGGTCAGACAAAGGCCAGTGGGGCAGAGGCTCAACTTCCAGGATGGTTCAGTCACACAGCTGTTGGCAAGAGGTCTCAGTTCTATACCATGTGGCCTTGCCACAGGGATGCCTGAGCATCCTCATGACATGGCAGCTGGCTTCCCTCAGAGCCAGTGATTCATAAGGGAGAGAGAGAGAGGGAGGGAGAGAGAGACGAGAAAGACAGGGCATACAAGGTGGAAGCCACAGTGCCTCTTAGGACCTGGTATCTGAAGCCGCCCATGGTCACTTCGGTTTTATTATATTTATCAGAATCAGGTCACAGAGTTACACATTCAAGGGGAGGGAACGGAGCTCCCACTCTTAAAGGGAGCAGTATCAAAGAACTTCTGGCATATTTTAAAACCATCACCTGGGACTAACACTGGTAGTGGCAAATTGGGAAAGCACTAAAAAAAGTGTCCTTAAGAAAAAAACCACCCATAAACCACCACCATAGACAGCCACTGCGGACATTGCGGCTGTATGCCTTCCCTGACTTTTACTTTCTGGGTCCAAGTGGTTGAAGACTGGTTCACACACTCATGATATGGAATTTTCATTCCTCCTTTTTTCATGATATTTTCCTTAATATCAGTTTTTTTCCTTAATATTATGACATTAAGCATTTTGCATGCTTACAAACTCTGTAAAAGTCCATTTTTATTTTACCCTTTAGTTTTTTTAAATTAAACTTTATTTGGGAGACCCATAGCCTCACATGCAGTTATAAGAAATAACACATTGGGATCCCAGGCATCCTTTACCAGTTCCCCCCAATGGTAACGTCTTTACAAAACTATACTGAAATATCATGATCAGGATCCTGACATAGTCAAGATACTGAACAGTTTCATCCCACAAGATTTCCTCATGTATGACCACCCTAACCCCCACCCCTCCCCCCAACCCCTGACAACCACTAATCTCTATTTCTATAACTTCGTCATTTCAAGAATGCATATAAATGGAATCACACAGTATATAACTTTTGGGAGTTGGCTTTTCTCATTCAGCATGATTCCCTGGAGATTCATTCAGGTTTCTGTGTGTGTCAGTAGCTCCTTCCTTCCTCCTGCTGAGTGGTGTTCCATGGCATGATGTACCCAAGTTTGTTTAACTGTTCACACATTGAAGCATATCTGGGCCGATTCCGGTTTTCACCTATTATATATAAAGCTGCTGTGAACAGTCATACACAAGTTTTGTATGAACAGAGTCTTAATATCTCTGGGATAAATGCCCAGGAGTGCAGTTGCTAGGTCAGTGGCACTTTACATATTAAGTTGCGAAAATCATTTTTAATAGCACCTTAATTCTTTGTCCAGAGAATAGACCATAATTTACTCTGTCATGGATATACGTTGTTTCAAATTAATGCAAAATTATAAGTGATTCTGTACTTTGCCCTTAAATCATCCGTGCATTTCTGGCTGTTTCCTTGTGGTGGGCTCTATGAATGGAGTGGGGCAGGAGGCCATTGGTGCCTATTGCCAAACCAGACACTTCTCACTGCTGATGACACAGCCTGTCATGCACAGTTCATTTGAGGCTGGTGTGCCTGGGGTGTGATGGGCTGGAGGGGCCTGTGCAGACCTGTGATGGGCTATCTTGAGAGCTGTAGAGGCCACAGGAAGCGGGGGCAGGGAGAGCAAGCAGAGCTCCAGATGGCCTGCGTAGATGCTTCCCTAACAACCCTCCATCTTACCCATCAGTGCTGGATGCCAAGGGCCTGGCGCTGAACTTCTTTAACCAACTCTGGGAAGTATGCAGCCAGTGGCAGAAGCAAGTGCCCTTGACTGCCAGGGTTCGACAGCAGCAGTGGCTGGTCTCCATTCATGCCATCCGGAACACTCGCCGCAGGATGGAAGACCGGCACGTGTGCCTTCCTACCTTCAACCAGCTCTTCGGCCTGTCCGTGAGTGCTCCACCTGCAGTGCTCCACCTCCCGGGCCTAGGGCGGCTCAAGAGGCCAGTGTTCCCGATCAGGACAGCTTAGGAGGGCTTGCCCAGGGGGTGGGAAACTACTGAGTGCCAAGCAGACCTTCCAGCCAGAGCCGAGATAGGAGTGATGCCTACAGCTTCCGTCCGAAAGCTGAGGTGCTAGACATCTCTCAAAGCTCTTCCAGGAGTTCTAGGAGGCCCAGTTCATCATCCCAGCTCTTCTGGGCCAGGGAAGCCACTAGTTGCCTTGCTTTCCCAGCTCAGGGATTCACCCACCACATTCACCCAGACTCATGATTGCTGAGCCCTGCTCTGTCTCAAGCACTGGGAGCCACCTGGTACATCTTACTTCATCTTATGTTCCCAGCAACTCGGTACAGAAGGTGGATCTGAGGCACTGGAGGGTTGTCTGATGGCGAAGGCCATGCTGAATCTTCCAGACCCCTCCTGACCCTTCCAGTCAGCGCCTGATGAGAGCCTCCGACTGGGTCACAGCCTCGGCCAGGCATGAGGCCAGCAGGGCAGTGACTCCCACTGCATTCCCCACCAGGACCCTGTGGACCGTGCCTACTTTGCAGTGTTTGACGGTCATGGAGGAGTGGATGCTGCAAGGTATGCTGCTGTGCACGTGCATGCCAATGCTGCTCGCCAGCCGGAGCTGCGCACAGACCCAGAGGCAGCCCTCAGAGAAGCTTTCCGGCGCACCGATGAGATGTTCCTCTGGAAAGCCAAACGAGAGGTGAGGACAGGTGGGCCAGTCCTGTAGAGTGTGGGGGCTAGTAGCCATTAGCATCAGAGAGGCCCAGCCCTGTAGAGGGATAGAAATGGAAGTGGTTGGTGGGGCTGGAAGGTCCTCACTAAATGCTGCTGGCATTGTGTCATTGTTTAGGAATTACCTGGCCCTGGGGGTAGGGGGTGATTCTGTCCAGGATTAATAAGGCCCCTGATTTGAGAAAGCATCATAAAATACAGAAAAGAAAACATGTTCGTATACAGCCGCACTTCCCCTTGCTCTCCTGGGCAGGGTCTCAGCAGGAACTGGTGTCCATTCAGAGTGTTCTTTCCTCAGAGTTAGAGCCACACAGGGATGAAGCATCTGCTTCTGAAAGAAGAAAGAACTCATCCACCCCCACTCACCCCCCCCCACTGAGCCTTACTTGTGTTCCCTTCAGTAGGTTCTCCCGCAGCCCTGTGGGATTGATACTAAGATCATGTCCATTTTAGAAAATGGGAAACTGAGGCCTAGCTGAGCTTCCCCAGTTGACACAGCTGGTGAGATTTGGGGTGGGGGCTGCACCATCATCAGACACTCTGAGCATAGAGTGGAAATCAGCAAAGCCAGACAACAGAAAACCATAAGGCATCTAAAATAGTGAGGTAGGAACCAGTGAAAACCTGACATCTCAGCCCTCCTGGCCACCATCACCCCTAGTAGGTAAGAAAACTCTCTGAGCAGATGTTTAGTTTAGTTTATTATTTTTAAACATCTTTATTGAGATATAATTGACACATAATTAATTGCACATATTTAAAGTATACAATTTGATAGGTTTTAGCATATGGCTATACCTGTGAAACGCTCACAATAATGGACATATTCATCAACCCCAGAAGTTTCTTCCTGCCCTGTTGTCCCTCCCTCCTGCCCACCTGTTCCCCACTCCTCTGCTCTCTGACAGACAGTACTTTGCATTTTCCAGAGTTTGATATAAATAAGATCACACAGATGTGCTCTCCCTGCACTCGGCGTAATCCTGTATCCTTCACGGTGCCCATCATGCACCGACAGCTCTTTCCTCTCTCTGAGCAGTCTTCCAGCAGTTCTTCCACCTGGGCCACGTGTACCTGCGCGTGGGGCAGGTGCCTGGCCCGCCCTCACTGCTCTTGGCCTTCTCTTCCTACAGCGGCTGCAGAGTGGAACCACAGGTGTGTGTGCACTCATCACAGGAAAGACCCTGCACATCGCCTGGCTCGGGGACTCGCAGGTCATCCTGGTACAGCAGGGACAGGTGGTGAAGCTGATGGAGCCGCATAAACCTGAGCGACAGGTAAGGGGCTTCCTCCACTCACACCTGGGACATCCCTGGCCCCATTGTGCTGAGCCTGTCAGGGAAGCAGATGGTCAGGAAGCCCTGGCCAGGGGTTGCTGGGGCAGATTAGGAAGCAAAAGGGACCCTGGACTATCTTCCCAGGAAACCCTTGGCACTCTTCCATGGGGAGAGCTCCTATGTCTGACTCCAGTGGCCAGAGGTCCCTTAAAGCTTGGGACATTAACAACCAGTAGTCCCAAATGAACCCCTTCTGTCACAGCAACGTGGAGCCCAGAGCTGCAGGGGAGAGCTGGGCTCTGTGCCCAGCAGGCAGCCCAGTAAATGGAGTCAATGTGCAGGGTCTTATCGTGCATGCAGACAAGGAGCGGCCCACCTGGGCTATGGGGAATGAGGGGAGGGAGGAGGTGATGCTGGGCTGGAAGGAACCAGGCTAGGGGTTTTGTTAGGCAGAAGCTATGCTGAGGTCATTCACCCACCTGAGCCTCAGGGTTCTCACCTGGAAGCGAGGATGACATATTCCTACTCAGACCATATCTCACAGAAGTGTCCATGCTGTCTCCTGACGTGGGAGAGCGAGAGTTTGCGCATCTGGGGGATGCCTGTAGGCCCCACATGCTGCTCTGCACTGGCTTTTTCCTCTACCTGTGCGCCTGGTGGGTGTTCCACATCAGCACATACGCATAAAGAGTTCCCATCCTCTCCTAGGGCTGGTGGAGTTCCATTCATTTCCATCTTTCCTTCATGAACAGTGAGATTTTTTTCAGTCTTTTGGTACTAGAAACAAGGCAGCTGTAAATAGCTTAGTACAGCATTTCCTTGTTCAGGGTCAGGTATATCTACAGGGCACATTCCAAGAAGTGCGATAGCTGAGTCATTGTACAGGTTTGCCAAATGCCCCCTCAGGCTGTGTGAGGTCCTGCTGTTGGATAGGTGAGAAGCCTTCGTTTAGTTTGCATTTCAGTTAAGGAGCCAGCTTGAGCATCTTCTCAAACGCTGAAGATAATTTATGTCACCTTTCCTGAGAACACCCCGTTCCTGTCTGTTGCCCATTTTTGTCCTCAACTGTTACTATTTTTCTTATCGATCTGTAGGCATCTTATATACTTTAGGGAGGTTGACTCCCTGTCTATGCAGCGACTTGCAAACTCTTTTGTCTTTCTTTATGGGCTCTTCCATCTGGAAGTGTTGGTTTTATGTAATTGTGTGGAACTGTTTTTTCTTTTGTGGCTTCTAGAAAGCAATGCAGCAGAAATGACAGCGTTCCTTAACCTCACAGCAGCTCACAGCCTGTGCTCTGCCTTCTATATATGCTCTCCCCATTGTATAGAGGAGAGAACTGAAGCCCAGAGAGGTTAAATAACTTCCTCAAAGCACATAGCCAGGAAGGGGCAGGTATTCTGTCTCTCTGGGGCCTCCAGTGCCTGTTCTCTGTTGGACTTTCCTACCCCAAGACAAGCAGCCGGGTAACATGTGATCCAAGTTAGGACTAGATACAAATCTTTGCTTGGGGTCCTGGTTCTGCATCTACCAGCTGCACCCATGTAAGCTCAGTGTTCAGCACCTCCTCTGAGGCCCACTGTGGACTTTTTGCAGGTAGCATTTTTCCAAACACTGCCTGAGTTCAGCAGACTGGCACCAGGCAAAGAGCAAGGACAGATGTCCATGCTTGGGCCTGGCTCCACCCCTTCCAAGTGTCAGGCTCACCATCAAACAGCAGGCACTATTACCACCTTCAAGCAGTAGGCTCACACCTGGAAACCCTTTGGGGGAATTTATAGAACCAAAGCGGTTTCAGGACTCACAGTTGGACTGGGCCTCTGTCCTGTCCTCTGAGGCCTGGAGCAACACAGTCCTTTGGGGAGCCGGGCAGGGTCTGTGGGTGGAGGAGAAGCATGAAGACCCAGGGCCACAGGGCTTGTCCAGGGCCTGGCTCAGGTTTCATCCAGCCCTGCCAAATGACCACATGTAGCACACGCTTGGTCTCCTCGCACAACTTACAGAGAAGGGACAGTGTCCTGCATGAAAAGTGAGATAGCTAAGGGACCTGCCATCTGACCCTGGGGCTTGTGCTCTTTCTGTTGCCTGTGAGCATCTCTCTGGCCCTGAGACGCTGCTCAGGGATGGGCTTTGGTCAGTGTCTATAAATGGCCTGTCTGTATTTGCACCATAACCTGTTCAGCCATTCCTGCAACTGAAGGACGATTAAGCTATTTATAATTTCTCACTGTGTTACTAATGCCTCATTTGGGCACCTTTCAAGAGCTGTGGCTCCTAGCTCTGTCTTAGAAACCAGCTCATCTCCCAGCTGGCAGTGCTAGATGCCCTACCCCGTCAGAGCGCCTAGGCCCCACTCTGGCTGTCTTCCGCAGGACGAGAAGGAGCGCATTGAAGCGCTGGGTGGCTTCGTGTCTTACATGGACTGCTGGAGAGTCAACGGGACCCTGGCCGTCTCCAGAGCCATTGGTAAGGAGGCGAGGGGCAGGAGAGAAAGGCTACCTAGAGCTCAGACCTCTGGGCCCAGCTGTTGGGGATGGCAGTGTCGTGCTGAAAAGGTGCCTGTCGTCAATAGGGTTGTGTTATCAATCAGATTGTGAATGGAATTTGGAGAGTACGGGCACAGACATATCACACAAATAACTGTGGTCCAAGTTATATGTCATTATCTCTTTGTTGAAACACTTCCTCGGAAAAACCTAGATGGAAAGATTTTTCTGGAAGAACAGGTGTGAGGGAGGAGAAGTAAGCTTAGCTGAGTGCCTGTCAGGTGTTTGAGGGGCGCTATCGGGAGCTCAGCAGGGCCAGGCCCAGGGCCATAGCCCACGTGATGTCCTGGGCCGCTCACTCTGGGCCCTGCTCCACGAGGAGTGAGAAGCTGTTTTGTAGAGCTGAACTCTGGCCCTGCTGGGTTCTCATTCCTCAGGAACACCAGAATAAATCTGTCACATCCTCTCCATGTGAAGTTATCTTTTCACCCTGTGTCCTTGCTTGTGAACTTGGATATTGGAGAAAGGGTGGCCACAGTGAGGCCAGGCCTGGCAAGGTGAATGGAGCAGCAGGCCGCCCAATCGTCTGACACCAGGCACTTCTCTCCCATGCCTAGGGGATGTCTTCCAGAAGCCCTATGTGTCTGGAGAAGCAGACGTGGCCTCCCGGGAGCTGACCGGCTCTGAGGACTACCTGCTGCTGGCTTGTGATGGCTTCTTTGACGTAGTCCCCCACGAGGAGGTGGCCGGCCTTGTGCAAAGCCACCTGGTCAGGCATCAGGGCAGAGGGCTGCATGTCGCTGAGGAGCTGGTGGCTGCAGCCAGGGAGCGGGGCTCCCATGACAACATCACAGTCATAGTGGTCTTCCTCAGAGACCCCCGAGACCTGCTGGAGGGTGGGGCCCAGGGGCCTGGGGAATCTCAGACAGACAGGAGAAGCCAGAACTTTGTCTCTGATATCTCAGAGCCAGAGAACAACACTCCATGGAGAAGCTAGGATGTCCAGGGCCCTGGTCCCCACCCTATAACCCTACCCCTCAAATGCCTAAGGACCCAATAGGCAGTGGTGGGCAGGTGGGCACCACCCAAGCAGTGCTTTTCCCTGGGAACCCCAAGCCTCTTGTGCTGCTGCATTGGTCCCTCTTGATGGCTGTAGAACTGCATGGGATGGTGGTTGTCACACCTTTCTCGTGACAGGCAGTGGGACAAAGGAATCCTCCAAAGGAAGCCTCACCAAAGAGAAGATGGCCTGGGAACTGTACTGGCTCTTGCTCCCTACGAGGCAGGGATGGAACCAGAGGCCACAGTCACTGACTGCAGCCAGACCAAAGACACCGGGCAGCAGAACCCTGTGTGTGGGACCCTTGGGCACACCCAGGAGCCATGGGTACTTGCAAACACGCCCTGGGCATCCAGTACAGGTTTTTCATCCATTCCTCATAGGCCACAGCTGGGAGGGTTCATGTCTCCAGACGCACTTGGTGAGGCCTAGCTGGTTGAGCTCGCTTCCCAAACGAGAGAGGATCTAGGATTGCATCTGCAGTGGCAGCCATGACATGTGTGGCTCTGGCCTCACTGGTCCCTCTCATCCCTGGCACACCCAGGGAGGGGAAGCTCAGAGATGCTGCACTTGTCTCTTGTGTTCTTTTTTTTCCAGGGAAAAGTCTAATTCAGAAGCAGTATTTCAGGTTTTGTCTTTGTTCTGTCAGTGCCAAGGTGACCTGTTGTGTCAAATAACTTAAGCTGAGCTTAGCATTTATTTTATTCCTTAGGAAACTTATGTATTGGTGTGTTTTTTTAGGGGAAACTTCTTTTGCAGTATTACTGAATTTTTTTTCTTGAATCAAGATTGAAACAAAAACCTTTTCAGGTAGTGTTAATAAGCCATTCAAGTGCCTTAAACAGTTTTAGGAAATGCTAGAATCTGCCGGGCCTATGATAGGTGCCAATAGGCATGTTTAAGTTTCCACAAAAGCAGGATTTATTTTGTTACGGTGGATGGTTTAGGCTAGAGTTCTTCCTGGAAGAGTTCTTTTTGCCACTTTGTGATGAGCCACTGACAGTCAGCAAGGCAGTTCCTAAGAGCATGGGCTGTTCCAGGTCACCCAGGCCAGACCCCAGGAGCCTGATCCCCACCTTCCTTGGCCCCACTTGGTATCTGGCTGGACCCTAGGCTGAGGGCCTGAGCTCCATGAGCAGGCAGGTTCTTGCTGCTGTTTGAAATGTTCCAGAATGTCTTGTGTGTTGGTAGTTGGATTGGTTTCGCTCAGAAACACATGTAAGAGGTTCTTGCAAGTCTGTGGGTCTGTTTGGAGGCAGTGGGGATGTGGCTGGGAGTCTGTCCCACCTGCCCAACTGATGCCCCTCTTTCTGCCAATAACTGGCAGCCTCTGCTGCCTTGCTCTTCTGCCCCCAGCCTTGACTGCCTGTGTCCCCTCCTGCCCTGGGAAGGTAAAGCTTAGGTGATTTCACTTGCTCACATCAAGTGGGGCAATACAGCTGCTGTGTGGAGTTGAAGGTGGCAGGGCCGTGTGAGGGCTTGAGGTAGAAATCAGGCCAGGGGCAGACAGGTATCTGGTGGGAGGACCTGGGCTTGTAGTGGTGGGCAGAGCCGCTGCAGGCAGAGGCTGGCAAGTCTGGGAAGGGCAGTGGGTTGCTTAACTGAGTCTTCAGCAGAATGTTGCTGGGGGACTGGGCAGTGGGAAGAAGCTTAGTGCCAGGTCCCCAAGGCCAGGAGGTCCTGTAGAGGTATTCTGAATCCACCAATAACCGCAGGGCTCCAGAAAGATCTGCATAGGGAGGCCCCTGACCCCAGTGGCATTGAAGGGAGTTCTGGGGAAGGGGCTGATGATGAGAGCCACCCCTCCTGAGGCAGTTGGGCTGTCCAGCAGAAAGGGAAGGAGCCATGGGGGACCACCGCCTGCAGGTTCTGAGTTTACCCCACCCCCACAACAGGATGAAGACTCTGAGGCCATGTAGTCAATGCCTTGCTCAGGACCTCATGATAAAAAGCATCTTAAACATGGTCATGCAATTCAGAAAATGTTTGGCAACCAACATGACCATGTGTTACCCCATTTAACTTGAAGGCTCTGCTGCCTTCTGGGGGCCAGAAGTCCTCTCGTCAGCCCCTCCCAGCACAAGGCTGGCAACAGGCTGGACATGGGCCCACCCTTCACTACCAGCCTGGCATCCTGAAGGCATGCCCTTAATGGAGGGAGCAATGGGTTTGTTTTTCTCTTCTTTGCTAATCTTACTCCATTGATTGCTGCCAAGAGAGGAGCTTCACTGCGTGGAGCCTGGATTCCACCACTTGGTGGCCTGATTTGTGCCCTGATCTGAGGCTCCACCAGGACATTTCTCCAGGATTGTCCTGACACCTCTCCGAACTCGAACCAGGCTGCTGGGGTCAAACAACAGAGGCTTTTGCTGTCTGGTGTGACCCCGTTGTTAGCCCAGGGAGTCCTAGTTCTCCCGCTGCTCAGGGGCTGGCCTGTGCTAGCACAAAGCAGGTCTTTTCCATCTTGACTGGGCTGCACTGGGAGCCACTGGGCAATCTTCAACCTCTGAGCATCCTGGTCCACTTCCTCTTCAGGACACAGTCCCAAGAGTGCCCCTAGCCAAGACACTGGTCCAGAAACCTTGATCCCATTCTCAAGTCCCACCTTTGCCACTAGCTCATTATGCAATCTGAGTCAGTTGTTGCATTACCCTGGGCCTCAGTTTCCCCTTTGTAGGGCACAGGGTTGCACTGAGTCTGCAGCAGCTTCTGGAAATTTGGAGGGGAGATGCTGCCGGTTCTGAGGCCCTTCCCCCACTGCCAGCAGGGAGGGGTGAATAAGTATTACTTGTGTCTATTCTTAAAATTAAGTGGGTTGGAAAAGAATTGAGCTACTGATGCCAGCGCCTTATATGGAATACAAAAGCTGGAGAATTCCAGCCCTGCTTTTACAGGTAGAGCTGATCCAGAGCCAGCAGGGGTGGGAGAGGTAGGCAGCTGAGGTGGGAGGGCCTGAGAGGGGGTAGGCACAGCGGGGCTCCCCAGAGCGGCTAGTCAAACTCCCAACCCGCTGAAATTCTGAGGTGATGCATGGCCTCCCCAACTCAGCCTGTGCTCAGCATTCAGGGCTAGGCAATAGGTGTGTTTTAGGGAGAGAACAACAGGATTCGGGCCCCAGGAAGAAGCACAAGCTCACTGAGGTACTAGGTCAGCTTTTGTCTCCTCCCTGCCTTTGGCCATAGTCCTGTCTCCTGTCCTCCCTGGGCCCACAAGTAGTCCCAGCCTCACCCCTTCCCCAGCTACCTCAGCAGGATCCCCAGGGCCAGGGGCACAATTCTGACAGCTCCTAGGCCTCGCCCCCCATGCCAGCTAAATGGAAATTAGGTGGGCTTGTGCAAAATAAGCCATTTGGTTTGATTCTGCCATAGTCCAAAGGGGGTAGCTGGGAGCCTGTGCTTTTGCAAGGCTCTACAGTTTTGCCAAATTCACCAAGCTTTGCCATTCACATGCTGTGCCAGCCTTGCCAAGGGTTTATCTGTGCACATTTCAGTGAGGTTTCTGGGAGAGGTTTTACGGGATGACTGTTTCCCCTGACTGTAGGGACAAGTCCCAGGATGAGAGCCCAGAAAGGCGATCTCCTTCCTCCCAGGGCTATTGTGCTAAGTGTCAATAAACCACAAGTTCTGAAACCTGTCTTGAGTCCTGAATTCTGCCTTCTCTCACCTCTGAATTCCTGGTTCTCCTGGGTGTCCAGGGTATTTGGAAGCTCCTGGGGTGCAGGGGAACCATCTTCAAATCTTGCAAGGGGAACAGATGAATTCTGAAGGGTGCCCTACTGGCACAGCCTCTCCAGCCATCCTGCTCAGCCTCGTTCACATCTCTGGGCTCCCAGCCCACCCTTACCAGCAGCAGGAAGTCACGTTCACTGTGAGCATGTGCAGGGGTGACAGGAGAGAGGCAAGGCCTCTGGGGAGCCCGCAGGAGTCCTTGGTGTCCCTGGGCCACTGAGGTTGGAGACCCTGCCTGCACAACACTCAGTTGGGAGAGAACAGGTCAGCAGCCAATGGGAGATTCTTCCTTGTGCTCCTGGTTGAATTCAGGCCTGTATGGAACATGGACAGCATCAAAAATACCTCCTCCATGTAGAAGCTGCTGAGCCAGGGCCCCCAAATGCTGCCTGAACTTCTCCCCAAAACAGGCTAGGGTAACTTGTGCTTTCAGGTTCATTGGGGCCAGCTAGCTGTGGGTTGCTGTGTTGCTCCCTCCCTGTCAGCCCCTGTCCCAGACACTGGGCCTTTGCCCACTCTCCTTGCTTTTGGGGACCCTCTTGCCCACTTTCAGGCCTGCTTGGCCTCATTTCTCCTAGTCCTTTCCAAATCACCCCTGGGAGCTTTCAGTAACCCCTCCTGCTCCAGACAGCCTGGGGCATTACTCTCCCATTCTCCAGACCACACTGCTAGGGAGGCAGCTTGATCTCTCCATCCTGCCTCTGAGTGGGGGCTGGAGCTTCCAATCAGGCCCTGCTTCCCCCCAGCCCCACCTACTCACCCATCTGCCTTCTCCCTCCCTCGCCCCCTCCGCCTCCCTCAAAGCTCCCGCAGAATCTGCCTGGCAGATCCTTGGGCTTAAGTATATGCTGTCTTGGTTGTTCCCTAATGAGCTGCCTCGTGTCTGAATCTCATCACTACAACCAGATGGTGGTTCTGCACTTCCTCCCACAGCCACAGAGCTTGGAGCCCAGGAGAGCGTTCTCTGTGGGGCCACTGGCTGGGGGCAGTAGGAAGCCTGAAGGACTGCGCACACTGGGCGAGCAGGGGCTGAGCGGCCCCTGACGGACCAGACCATCATGATGGCAGGTGGAGCGGAGGCCAGGGACGTCAGCCAGGTTCTCTGCCATCAAGGAGACAAATCTGCACCCAGAGGTCAAGTCTGGAATAGGGTCTCCCTGGGGGAGGGGTGAGAGCCAGGGCCATGGGGACTGGGTCTCAAGCAGCTAGCCAGGTTCCCTGAGGCCAGGGCTTGGGTTGAGGGGCAGAGGTAGGAAGCCCAGCTGGGTAAGTTGATAGCTAGCCTACCCTCAGAGTTGCCTTCAGAGGGTCCTGACAGCCCCCCAGCTGCCCCTTCTGGTCCTGCACTGCCCTCCTGTCCTCATCAGGCTGGTCTGGGGCAGAGGCAGGTTCTGAACCAGTGAAGGACAAGGCCTCAGCCAGGCCCATGCACGAAGCTATGCTTCATCTTGGGTCTGCTTCTTGGGACTGGGCTGGGGGAGTCCAGACAGCTGGACATCCAAGACCAAGGAATGGGCATGGCCTCCTCAGAGTAGTTTTGAGGATTGCACCAACCTCAGAAAAGGGTCCTGGGCAGGTACCAGTTCCAGGTACAGCACAGGGGCCCATAGGGGTTCCACTGCCCGCCACAGGCAGACCCCTTCTTAGACCACTGTCAGTCATTCTGGCTATGGCAAGGGAGACCTCCCCCTCCTCTCTTCCCTGCCCCTCCCACCTCCTTTCTTAAATTATAAAAGCAGTATGACAACATGACCAAACTTGGAAAAAAGAAAAACAAGATTTTATTTTGGATATGGAACAAAATAACCCAATAAACAAGGTAAGTGTTTAGAAATACAGTTTAAAAAATAAAACTTCTTGAAATGAAAGGCACCTTTTGGCCAGAAAGACTAAAACAATTTAAATCGCTGAAGATGAGACAGATTAAATATAAGAGCTATGTATTTCAGAGTCAGAACTATATGTACGTATTTCATTGGCAAAAATAGGCTGCAGTTTGGTACATTTAATGTCTATTTGCATCATCATGTTTGAGAATTGAAGCCTCACTTCATGAAGCTGGTTCTCAGCAGCTGCTGCTAACTTCCAGGAGGGCCTGCCTCAGCAGGAGAACATTCCCCTTTCACAGCTGCCTCTCTTCGCCTCCAAGCTCAGCCAAGGTGACAGGCGCCCACCTCTGCCTGGTGCCATCCATCTCTCCATGCCTGATCCCCGCAGTGTGGCACACCTGGACTGGTTCTTCCATTTTTACAATATAAAGTATTTGACATAAATACTTGAGAACTGATGTCATGGATCGGATATGAAGCATGCTAATTACAGATCCACCAACCAACCTCAAAACATTGTCTTGCCAACATTGTGCACCTTTGAGAGCCAACCCTGTCCGTCATCTTTAGAGATGATTTCTTTATAGATTTGCCATATATGTATATCTCCCTATATACTTTATTTTGCTTGTCTTTTTAAAAAAAAATTATTTTGTATTGGTTTCAGGTATATAGCATAGTGGTTAGATAATCATATACTTTTTTTTTTGAAATATATCTTTATTGATTTTAGAGAGAGGAAAGGAGAGGAAGAGAGAGAGATAGAAACATCAATGATGAGAGTCATTGATCAGCTGCCTCCTGCACGCCCCCAACTGGGGATCGAGCCCACAACCCGGGCATGTGCCCTGACCAGGAATTGAACCCTGATCGCCTGGATCTTAGGTTGATGCTCAACTGCTGAGCCACGCCTGGCCGGGCAGATAACCATATACTTTACACAGTGTTTCCCTTGGTATTTCCAATACCTCAACTGATGCCATTCATAGTTATTGCAATATTACTGACTATATTCCCTGTGCTTTACCTAATCCCCATGACTATTTTGTAACTACCAATTTGTACTTCTTAATTCCTTCACCTCTTTCACCTAATCCCCCAACCCCTCTCACCCTCTGGCAACCACCAGTTTGCTCTCTATGAGTCTGCTACAATTTTGTTCATTTTGTTGTTTATATTCCACATATAAGTGAAATTATATAGTGTTTTTCTTTCTCTGACTTATTTCACTTAGCATAATACCTTCTAGGTCCATGATGTCACAAATGGTAAGAATTTATTCTTTTTTATGGCCAAATAATATTCTGTCATATATGTACCACAAATTTTTTATCCACTTGTCTATTGATGGGCACTGGGTTGCTTCCATATCTTGGCTGTTGTAAACAATACTCATTTTGCTTGTCTTTTTAGAAAAAGATAGAAAAGTAATGAAGATAAAAACATGAAAAGACTTTACAATTTTTTGCTGTATGTGTTTTACTTCATGTTTTCGTCAGTCAGTGTTCTGCTTCTCGGATTCATCCATGTTGTATGGGTTTCTGGCTTTTTGCAGAAATAGCTGCTATGAACATTCTCATCAGGTCACCGAGCACCCATATACAAGAATTTCTTGGGCATATACCAAGGAGTGAAAACGCTGGGACAGACTGGCCATGGAATTTACAAGGCCCAATGCAAATCAAAACACAGGCCCTTTGATAAGTTAGTAGGTATTTCAGGACAGCAGTGGTAGAGCATTGTGCCAGGTGCACAACCAGGAGGCGACCTGTTGCTGCTTCTTTACCCACCTGACAGGGTCGTGCAAAGGGCTTGTGCCATGCAGATGGCAGTGCATAGAGTGTCCTCTGTTTCCCAACCTCTCCAGCACTTGCTTCATCAGGCTTAAATTTTTGTCAATGTAATGAATGTAAAATGGCATCTCCTTGTGGTCTCAGTTTGCATTTCCTTGGTTACCTGAGAAGGCGAGCACCTTATGTGTGTATTGATCATTGGTGACTTTTTTTAAGGAACAAGATACAGAGTTAGATTCCCATTCTGTTCTTGCCTCTAAATGACCACATGGGTTTTGAACCTGCAACCTTTTGGTGCACTGGACAATCCTCTGACCAACCAAGCCAGGTTCCAAGGCTGGACCTTGATGGCCTAAGACACTCATGGTGGTCACATTCTTCTTGATGATGATTAGATGGGGTTGGCATGTGACTCAGTCTGCCAATGAGGTATGAGGAAAAGATTGCTGGGTGACTTCTGAAGAGGTTCATCACTCCTAAGGAGACTCCCAAAGAGGCAGTGCCTTTCTGCCTTTGAATAGTGTGGCACCCAGTATGGTCTGGAACTGCTGCGGCCTGGAGATGATGCCCAGAATATGCAGAGCCTAGCAAGGCAAAGAGGAGCCACAGCCTTATCTGTGGGGTCTTGTTAGATGAGAAAGTACAGGTCCCAACTGTTTATACCAATTTAGTTTGGCAGGGACAGGGTTTGGGTGAGGCAACTAAGGAGCCTAGGATGCAATGCTTAAGGAAGTGCTTGCCCTTGGGTATTAATGCTGCACTTGCACCACCCTGAGAGTGAGCGGTTCCTTAAATCTTGCACTCTAGCTGTGTCCCTTACTTGCCTCATCCTAGTCCTGGCCCTGTTTGATTCAAGGTTTTCTGGGCCTACAGCTGAAAGCTGCTAACTGGCAAGTAGAAGACATTGAAATTCAAGGAATGGACAGATAAGAGGAACCTAGAAAAGGAGATGAAAAACAGCCGGTGCCAGCAACCAGCCCAGCCTTCAACCTAATACTAACAAAATCGCCCTCTAAGCTTTCAGAAGCAGTCATCTTATTTTCTTGATTTTCCAGGGTATGTTATTGTGTTCATATTTCCTCCCTGACTGAAACATTATTTAAAATGTTTGTTAATTTCCCACTGGCTGGAGATTTTAAAATTTAAGTTTGTGTACTTATTTGTTAAATTGTGCTATGATCAGAGGATTTGACTTGAATAAGATTTGCTTATTTGAGTTTATTAAAAGTTTTTGTGGCCCAGTGTAGGATACTTTTTGTATTTTATATAGGTGTAGAACTCAG